CCCACGTTAACCCCCGCGCTGGCATTCGTCCACCTTTTCTGGGTGGGCACTATGTACGCGACGAGCGCGCGGCGCTACTTGTGCACCATTGCCTGGGGCAGAACGACTATGGGGATTTAGGTGGCCATCCGGTTATGCCGGGCTTTGCCCTGCGACTGTTATAAAGTATGTGTGGGTGTTCCATGGTGGACAGCCACAGGACGCAGTGTTAAGAGGAACCCAGGGATTGAGCATGGTTTTTTTGTGTTTTTTGCACTTGGCCACTGCGCCAACGGGTGGGGGGGGGGGGGGGGGGGGGGCCGAGGGGGGGGGGGGGGGGGGGGTGTGGGGGGGGGGATTGCGTATCCTGTCTCCCATATCCCAGTGTAAAACCCACGCACCGAATGAAATATGACCAGGATACAAGGTGGGTGGAAAAATTTCCTAGAGGGGGGCTTGGGGCAGATGGCTAAAACCAACTTACCCTCAAAGGCCTCCGAAGGCCGCGCCACCTCACACGCTAACACAAGCAACGCTGTTCCTTGCGCGGAATCAATGCACCCCAAGAGAAATACGCTTGAACCGTGGTCCGGCCCCTTGCGCCGGCGCTTTGAGCGTCACCGCAGGCCGGATTCCCACACTATGTCTGGAAAAAACCGAGTAGAGAGTTTGAGGTGGGGGGGGGGTTCTTCTTTAAAAATTTTTTTTTTTTTTTTGGTGTTTGTTATTGCGACCCCTAGCACGGGCCAACAACCGGACCGCGCACTGACCAACGCCCGCTCCTCAAAGAATGGCTAATTGTCTCCAGGGGGTTAGTATAGGAGGAGGTGGGTGATTCAACAAGACGGTTAAGCACCACCCCCCTTGTCGACAAAGAATAAGGTACATCAGGTGCAGTTCCAACTGGGATGGGCAAACAATAGCCAATAATCACTTGAACTGAACTGTGAGTAACAAATATATATCGAATAAAGCGTAACTGGAAATGCTGACATAAATCTCCTTCTGGGCGCGCTAAAAAAAAAAAAAAAAAAAAAATGAGCATATGGTTAGGAACTGGGCTGGTTACCAGTCAAATCCCGCCGGACAATGCATGATGGTAAGAAAAAAATAAATTTAGGACATATGACACAACGAACAGCAAATGTTAGCGAACTTAAAACCACATTTTGGCTAGGTAAGGTGTGTAAGGTTCAATATAAACAAACGTTAGGATAAGGGAACAAATATGCATTGTGACACATAGCACAAACTCCCCTACCAACCTACAAAAAGAGAACTCCAAGCCTCAAGGACAATTTAGTGAGAATGTGTGAATGCAACGAATACCTACCCCAAAGGGCATGCACTACGTTATTGGTTTTACATTGCCACACCAGGACCCGTCGGTCCGCGCGGGTCGTTTCCGATGCCAGGTCTCTACTCTAGTGGGTCTCGAACTGCGGTTCACTAAGGCACACACTAAGCATGAGTGACCTCACAAGAAAAAGTGCGCAGGATGAGGCAACTCGTGACAAGTGCTGCTACTACAGCACCCTGCCTCGTCGGCAGACGCCGACCATGAGTGATCAAAAACCAAACTGACTCCCTCCCATCGCCTTTGTTATCGTTCTCATCAGGTGCCTGGGGGCCGTTTCCTCTTCCTTGATAGCTGTTGGTGTGTCTGCGCTTGGGGGTGTCAGGCATGTTTTTTCATCGACAAAAGGTGCCTTAAACCCTATGAACGGCCCTCCGTTTTAACACGGTAAATATTCCGCCCTCCCCCTCCCTAACCCACTTACTCTATCGTCCACAGCATACCAGGCCCCAGGAGAAACCGTTGGTCGTTGCGGGTGGGGACGCGGTGCACAGGCTTTTGGTAGCCTGTTTAACGGACTCGAAGAGCGGGTTTCCATACACACCTATTTCATCAAGTGTGGACACGGACTACGGGGCGGGGGGGGTCCAAAGGGTACCCGCCTCATAGCAGAGAGGAAGGAGGGGAATAGAGATACCGCCCCCACCAGCCCACCGCCATGTGTGCCTTAAAAATAAAAATCCCCTAAGTGAAGAGTTTGCTTTGGTGTTTTGCCGGTGAAGGGAATGTGGGCCTGCCCCGTTGATGAAACGGGGCTCCCAATTCCACACAATGCCTCCCGGTTTATTCATTATAGGGTGGTATTTAGGGATATGTTTGTGTGTGGTTAGAGTCGTGAGAGGGTGCACAAAGCGAACCAAAGCCCCAAACCACAAACGGTTCTTCCCTCTGTATGGGCCCCCAGGCGTCCTGTGGGGGGGGTCGGGGCCAAGGCTGGCCACCGCGTGACAGGTAAAGAATCCAATCGCACCACCCACCACGCACCAAAAAGGAACAAAGCAACAACTCCAGTCACCCCACAACAAACCGGAGGAGACGAATGCCGCCTAAACCCCAACTCCGCCCCCGACCCCCCTCCACATGGGGGGGGGCGGGGGGGAGGGGGAGAGAAGGGATAAACTGCACCACCCGCCCGCCATCCGTCCCCGCCCCATAGCCGCTCAGAGCACCGCAACCCGTCGGCCCCCCCCACCGGGCTCTAGATATGGGGGCAGCCAGCCTGCCGCCCCGCCCCCCGGCCAAACCTATACCCGCACCGCGCCGGCCCCCCCCACCCCCCTCCCGGCCCCCCCCCCACCCGTACGCCCAATCTCCCATGTAGGTATGGGTGCCTCCATGCTGAGGCTGGTGTTGCCAATACATTCCCGTGGATCGCCTTCTCTGAGGTTTGGCATACCAACGTGATATCGTAAAGTAGGACCTTCTCCAGCACTTGCTCCTCGTAAGCTGGGCTAACAGTCTTTTTTCATAGGGAGTCCCACTTTTGTTTAGTTTGTTCTCTGCCCTCGCTGATATAATCTTCTTTCTATTAAAACAAAACGACCAAAAACTAGGGAACCCCCACCCGAAAAAACACATTTGCGTAACTAATATGGCGGCCTATCTTCTCGGCAAAACAAACAAATAAAACATTGTTGCAATTTTGTAGCATTTTTTTTTTTTTTTAAAAAAAAGAAAACGTAACTGTGTAAACACCTATTCGCTATCGCGGATCTAGTGCCTCAAATAGAAAGCTCTTTCATATCTAATTTAGCCGAAGAGTTATGCACCGTACCTGTACGCTGATATAAATAAAGGGGGGGGGGAGGGGGTTGGGCGAGGTATTAGAGGGGGGGGGGGGTGGGTTTGGGGGTGGGGGGGGGGGGGGGGGCGGGTGCGTGCTGGGGTGGAGAATCAGGATAGGGGAAGGGGGGGGGGGGGGGGGGCGGGGGGGGGGGGGGGGGGGGGGGGGGGACCCGGGGGGAAGGGTAGGGGGGGTTTAGGACGGGTGTAAGGTTCTACGAGACTGAGCTGCCCCCCCCTTTGGAAGGCTAAAACATTTTCGTTTGGAAATGAAAGGAATAAAAAGAAAATAGAAAAAGTTTCCACTACGAGGTGAGCATGTTGTCACGTGATAGTCAGCCCAAGAAACATGATGGCGCTGGGGCGCGTAAAAATCAGTCGTAATTTTTGCGTCCATACAAGTTGGGGGTAATTTCGCCACGTAGTGATTCATGAGCACAGGAGCCCAAACAAGGTGTTGGTGCAATCAATGACCATTACGAATTCGGGATGATCTGTGCTACATCAAACCATTCGTCATAGTAAAATCAGTTGCATATGTTAGATGTAGAAGGCTGTGGATTGCGTCAGTGTGAAATGTTAAGGTGTGACGTTATTTTGTAGCGGGTCACATCCGCCACGTTGCAGTGTTGTTAAGCGGACATTTGTGGCCTTTTATAAGGAGAACGCTTGACAGGCGAAAACCCACAACGTCCTGGAACACTGCCGTAGCTTCCGTTGAACAGTGGTGCTAGTCGACTATGCATCGTATAGACCGATTCTGCACTCTATTATTCGCAGTCGGTTGACAGCCAAAATGCTCCCTTGGTTGGCAGAGTGGCTTAGTAATGATCCGGCAATAGTCGTTGAAACCGGTCAATGATGCAAACGAGTCGCAGAGTCGAATGATAAATGACGCAGGTGGGTAAACACATTGTTAATCGAGGTCAGCTTTTTCTATTATATTCTTGTCCGGCTCGCAAACAGTGTCCAGCTATCCACGCTGTACTTGTCAAGGGGACGGTGAGTGAAGTTGTTACTTGTGGCTGAATATGTCCATAACGGGCGGAAATGTCATTCTCTGCAAAGTGGAATCGGAATTCCTTCAAATATAAGTAAGTGTAATTGTCTCCATGGCCGAGTGGAAACTCCGCGTAAGGCCATCGTAAAAGCCACTTAAACTAGCGCAACGCTGTCCGTGAAATGACATCAGAGAAGCTCCAGGTGACTGGAGAATCGGATTGTTTGAGGCAGTAAAGGAAATCACGCCATTATTGTTTGTCTTCGGTTGTGGAACAGTGGATCCATGTAAATATATTATTCCAGGTGAGTAAATTGTTCTGCTCTGAGTACGAAGCGAGCTAAACCCATTTGTTTAGACCCGGTGAAGCTAGCGTCTCCCGGAGAAAGGATCAAGCGTTTAAAACAGCTGGCTATTGAGGATGGGTTGACTCGTCCCAGCGGATAAACCTTCTTGTTTTGGCGGAAGTAACTGTGGAAATCTCGGGAGATAACGGGCAACGGACAAGCGGCAGCAAACAGCAATGGTTCAAGAAGCACAAACACATACTGGTGGCGCGCAACGGTGCCTATGGTATATAAAAACGTTGTAATTTTGTTTGAAATGACATCAGAGAAGCTCCAGATGACTGGCGAATAGGAAGGTTTGAGGCAGTGAAGGTAATCACGCCAGAGTTGTTTTTCTTGGGTTGTGGAACGCGGGATCCATGTAAATAGAATATTCCAGGTGAGTAAATTGTTCTCTCTGAGTACGAGGTGAGCTTAACCCATTTGTTTAGGCCCCGTGAATGTAGAATCTCCATAACGGCGTAAAGAGCTCCATTTGGAACGATGTGTGGGTTCTTAATTTCCCGGAGAAGGGACCAAGCGTTTGAGGATGGGTCGACCAGTCCCAGTGGATAAACGTTCTTGTTTTGGCGAAGTAACGCGAGCATGGTTTGATATGGCGAATGGCTTTAGGGCTACGGCCTTGAGCTCATCGTAACGCTTATGATATTTGGGAAGCTCCAAGATGTCGTGGAGGTCAATGACCACTTGCGGAGGAAGCGCTACGACCACACAGTGCAATTTGACCCTGTCAGACCTAACGCCATGTAACGAACAATTGGATTCTAGCTGCTTAAAGTTGGCTTTAAGATTAGTCTCTCGAAAAGTCGGGCTGGGGAAACGGAACCCAGTAATCTGCTCGTCAGAATTTCGGCTCAGAATTTCGACCAGTCCCAGTGGATAAACGTTCTTGTTTTGGCGGACGTAACGGTGGAAATCTCGGGAATGAACGGGCAAAGGACAAGGGGCAGCCAAACAAAGAGACAGTAGTGAATCAAGAAGCACTAACGCAGACTAGTGGCGCGCAACCATGCCTACGATACATTAAAACTTATGTAATTTTGTTTAGTATACATGATGTGCAAGCGCGTTCTTTACATCACGTTGCTGGTGTGACTCAGACTACAACTATAAGGTAGGAGGAAGGTTCTGCGCGCGCAGGGTCAAGAGACCGATATAACAGCGTGTTGAAAAACGTTGGGCGAATGATGCGATGGTTGGAGAGAAACAGGTAAACCGATGATGATGACAGCGGTCTGAATGCGAGAGGCATCTTAGGTGAAACTTAGGACAACCAGGTTAAGACCGAATGCGGGAGCAACGCAGGTAATGTAACATTCCTAGAGTAAAAGGAATCTCAAAGGATCGGCTAGGAGCGGATGAATGTAGACGGCAGTGCAAAGAGTAATTCGTGAGAGCAATTATGCTAAAGCTCTCAAGATTCCACAGTCCAAAATCCGCCAGAATCTAGAGAAAAGCGTCACAGAGGGCAAAAACTGCGGTGCTTTGGTCGCCGAGAAACAATAGCGCGTAGTCGACCACGCAACGACCTTCAGCGTCCCTGGCACCAAAGCCGGCATTGCAGCGGGAACTCCAGTCTAGGTTTGCCCACAGACTTTCTCCGACATTATTCAACATTTCTCTCTGTACCACATGCTCTTTCGGCCAATACATGCAGTTCGGCCCGTGGAATCTCCGGACACGGACCCGAGCCCTACTAACGGCCCACCCGTCTCAGCACGCCCGCGCTAACGGTCGCCGGGGAAACTAAAGCTACTTTGGGTGGAATTTGAACACAGGCACTAACTAACAATAATCCGCCCTTCCGATAGCACTTGGGCAGTTCCACTCCAGATGGTCCCAAAGTACTCTGGAGACTGACGCCCCTACGATGACTACCGGGTCCTAAACAAACTTAAGATTTCTGACAGTACCCAATCCCACATGTGAGGGGCCGCACTGCATGCCTCACAGGTAAAACGGTTATCAGCAAGCCCGAACTTGTTCAAGCCTAACACCAACCACCTGTTGTGAAAAAAGACATTTCTAAAACAGTCGGTATTACTTTTCCAACCTGCAGGAATTTTGTAGAACGTCTTTCGGACTGTGAAAGACTGTACAGACGTTTTAACGCTTTATCCAAGATGTCACCCGTGATCTAGGATTCGCCTACCCTCGGTGGTCTTATAGTGGCTAGTTCTTCCAAGCAAATGCGTGTACCTCATCTTCATTCCATCTTCCAGCGGTCGACGCAACACGGCGTGATCGCTAATCCGACTAAGTGCGAACTTGGTAAGTCCTTGTTAGAGTTCCTAGGCCATCTCGTCTCATCAGATGAATTCGAGGTCCTTGCGGACAGGATCGAATCCATCAAAGACCTCCAAATCATGCAGTCTCTGGCCGAACTCCTTAGAGGAAATAAACCGTAGTTTGCTTTCACCGACTCAGCACACACGGCTTTCACTGAGCTGAAGCATTCTATCTCTAACACAGATCCCCTAGCTCAACCAAACGTCTTCTCCCCGCTCTCTCTCAAAACTGATGCATCGGACCTTGTGGTGGGAGCTATTGGTCAACAACAGGCTGGCGGAAAGTGGCAACAACCCCATTGCTTCTCATCCTACCTGCAAATATCGGAATCCCGCTAAAATAGGTTCGGTAGAGAACTGCCTGCCATTAACCTTGCCATTCGTCCGTTGGACACAATTTAGAACCTCGGGCCTTCAAAGCCTAAATTGAACACAAGCATCACCTTTGCGTCTTCAAATCGTCTGACAAATATACGCCACGGCAAAACAAGGCAACCAGCATTCGGCGCGCCGATCACCGCTGATATACACAAATGCATAGCCACAGTGGGGGACCTGTGGCACCACATTCGCGACCAGGTGACAGCCGCTGCCGAGGAGACCATCGGGCACGTAACCTGTAAGCGGTCTGATTGATCTGATGAGAACAATGCGACGATTGGCGCATTGGTGTCGGAGAGGAATGTAGCATTTGTTGCACATGTCACAGACCCAGTGCCTCAGGGAAAACTAGTCAAATTCACGCACTTCGATGGCGCCTGACCGCGAGCACCGTCACGTTATACATGCATGGTGGATGAAGACTGCATGGCAGATGAAATGCTACGCCAGACGCCGCCAACACAAGGAATTCTTCGACTCCTTGATGGCGGTACATGGAACGAGAGTGGACCTGCCTCAGACGCTGATCGCATGTAGCTCGAGCACTACATGCACACAGACTGCAGACATAATGCAGATCTGGGAGAACCACTTAGACTGCCTCTTGGGCAACCGTCAGGGATCGACTAGCCAACAGTGAACGGCCTAAAGCAGAACGAGGTGAAGGGGAGTCTGGCAGACACGCCGACATAGAATGAGACGCAGTGAACACCTGCTCGGCTGCGAAACCGTAAGCGCGCCGGGGCCAATTGGATCCCGCCTGAAATATTGAAAAAATGCGGACCCGCATTGTTGACTACGCTGCACCACTTGGTGCAATGCGTATGGATTGAGAAGGAGGTGCCTCCTGAACTGATGGATGTCCTTGTGTTACCACCGTACAAAGGAAAAGGGAGCAAGCCATGTTGCACGAAGTATCGTGGCAGCAACTCGCTGATTTTTGTGGGCAAAGTGATTGCCCGAACCTTGCTCAACCGCCTCGTCAGGCAGGTTGTGGAACCGAACGTGGGGAAGAGCAGTGTGGGTTTTGTTCGGGTCACAGTACTGTAGATATGGTGTTTGCGGCTCGGCAATTGCAGCAGAAGTGCAGAGAAAGACACCAGGCATTGTACTCGCTTTGTGTTGCTTTCACCAACGTATTTTATACGGTGACTTGTGAGGCATTGTGCCTGGTGCTGGGCAAGTTTGGTTGCCC